TGTTGAAGGCAATCAGTCAGAAATTCACAATTATGTCAAGAAAAATATCCCTCAGTTGCAATATGTGATTGACCCCTCGTGACAAGAATCTCATTCTTGATTTCAGCCTCACATACCTCGACATCCACAGTATCAACTCCAGTACCTTCATCGACCCAACCTAACCCCATTCCTTCACTAGCCCAAACTAACCCCACTCCTCCACTAGCCCAACTAGCCCAACCTGACTCCACCCTTCCACTGGCCCAAAGTAGCCCCACTCCTCCACTAGCCCAACCTAACCCTGCCATTCCACTTTCCCAACCTAACTCCAATCCTCCACTAGCCCCAACGAACCCAACTCCTCCACCAGCCCAACCTAACCCCACCCATCCACCAGCCCAAACTAACCACACCCCTCCACTAGCCCAACCCAACCCCACTATTCCACTTACCCAACCTAACCCCAATCCTCCACTAGCCCAACCTAACCCCGCTACTCATTCATCCCGACCCAGCTTTGCTCCTCCATTGGCTCACCCCAACACCACATCATCCACTTCAGAAATTGGAGGTAAGGAATATTTTTTCCATACACACACTATGAAGGACAAAAAAAATAACAGTACTGAAGAAATACAAGCGCAATTGATTTGAATTGCAGCTCTTTAATTAGTGATATCCAGCATACACCTTAACAATATTTATGTTTATTATCATGAGAGATTATGACCAACTGCAGCAATCCATGCATGATGGTAAGTGGGTGTAAACATTTTGAGGCGGCAGCTTCTTAAATTTAATTGTCTAACATATTCCAGGTCATGAATGATTTATGAAAACTATTATGCTCATGGTCTGATACCAAGAACTTGTTTAAACATCCCTTACCGAAACATCACATCAAACTAAACAACCTGTAATGGTTGAGGTTGTTTCCTTGTTAAACTGTCCATTGCAATTTTCATTTGTGCTGATGTTCATACATTTCAACAGATGATGATTTACCTGAAATGTTATGGCTTGCAGATGATCAACCCCAAGGTATTACCAGTTGATACAACAACCCACTCGTCTGGGTTGTTGTCATTATTTGTTTTAATTCTTTACGTTCAAAGAAAATTTACAATTTTAACATTCTTTCCACTTATTCTTTCAGTCAGAACAGATGCCCTTCAAACAGGTAAAAACTATGATATCTTGCCATTGATTGGTTAAGATTAATTGCGAAGATTATGATTGGAGATAAATTGTACCATCATTATATATGTGTGCCATATTAACCAGACTTTATTTGTGGATTAGTATAAATATTTTAATTTTTATTGGTATATCATCTTTACTATCACTGATTGCTGCACTGGCTTTATGGTGACAATTATTTACAGTACAATACATCAATAATGGTCAAATTCAATGTTCTAATGGGAAAACATTTAAATGTAGTTAGTGTTCTTCGAGAAGACTTAAGCCCAGTGGGAGCTGTTCGTCAAAACCTCGGAAAAGGTACCATTAATTGAAAAGGTAGATTGGATACACAGGATGCATGCTTCAACACAGGTTTTACAGTAGTTTGCCAGGCTTCATTTTTTTTCGTGTAGTTCAGATTGTAAAGAGAGTGGGCTTTACTACTTGCCCTGAAGGGCAAGCCATGACTAACATGGTACTGGCCCTTGAGTGATTTTTTACTGGCCCAAAATGATGTGATTTGAACGAATCTTGAAAAAATCTGCCTATCCATTGGGCAAGTGAGAGTAAGAATTCACTAGCCTAATCAGAAAATCCACTGTTCCTGGGCTATCAAACATAACTTTCTTTGCACACTGTAGTTGTAGAGTTGAGTCAAAGTATTCATAAAGGAATTTAAGACCACTGAAGCTTAATGTCTTTCTTTCATGTGTACCACTTAACAAATTCAATTGTGTTGGTTATTTGCTTCCCTAGTGGCATTAGGGAGACTGGACAGGGTGGAGGAGGTACTTCTATGCGAGAGGGAACTTTACCAAAACTATGCTGTGCTGGAGTCCCTACCTGTCTTCTTAAATCTCACCTTTGAAGAGGCTAGTATTGAATATTATAGCTCCACTACACATGGAAGTCTGTGTCTAACTAGTGTGCTAAACATATGCGAAAAATGAAAGATATGTGTGGAAGGTTCCATACATGTACATTTTTGTCCACTTCCTTTGCATGTGGCTACAGAAAAGTGCTACACCATAACTACAAAACCTAGTGTGCATGTTAGAGTTGCGACTAATGTGGTTATAGGGGCTCCCTACTCTTAGCATACCAGGTATTTGAGTGAAACTACACAAAGCTCTAAGTAATGCTTCAATTTCCCTTTCACTGAGGGAGGGAAAAGAAGAAATAGGACTTAAATTTTAGTGATTTGGCTTTCAACAGGTTTCCATTAAGCTCCTACCCAATCAAAACACCCCAAAGAATACCCAAAAATAAATTGTCCACCAACAACCCCTTCCTCTGCATTCTTAATAGCATTTGCAACAAGGACCACTATCATTACAAAGAAATTTCAAATCAAACTCTCCTTCCAAACACATTTCAATTCTGTTAAAGAACTGGAAAAGTAGATTTCTCTGAAAAAACCAAATTTTCCTCAATTAAATGCTTCTCTTGCTTGCTTTTTTGCAGATATGCTACCAGGCAAAGAGAGATTTTAAAATGTTTACACTAATTATCATAAAACAGGGCGATAATTTTGATCCTGTGCGAAGGTTAGCTGCTTGCTGTTTGTTGTTATAAAATTAGGATCTTGGGCCTGTACAGCTACAGTGTAGTTATTAAGACAGCATTACCTTGAAGTTCAAATTTCATTGCCTAGTACTAGAAATTCAAATAAAGGCTAAAGGATTCCTGGTCAGAAACTGAGACAGGTCATATATCAGCCATTTCCAGAAGTCATAGCATTATGTTACTAAACATGACATGACACAACACTCCAACAATTAGAGTATGCACATGTTTTACAATTTTCCAACTTATATCAAATTCCATACTCAGGTTATCAAAGTGAGAATAATTCCCATTTGTCAACAAATCCTTAAAAGTAATCAGTTTTATTTCTATTTTTAACTATCTGCAGAATTTGTAGCATGCTCCAAACATTATCAGTTGATCTGTACTACTGGATGGCATGTATGGAGAGTGCAAGTGGGAGAAGAGGTAAATCAATTATCCCAAAGCTGATTCTTGGTATAGATGGTGTACACTGAAGAGAATTAAGCAGTATAGCAATTCAAGAAGAAAGCCAGAAAAATTCTCCGTTTAGTCAGCTTTCATCTGATCATTGTCTACACATTTACACACAAACATGATAAAAGTATGACAGGTAAAAAAAGGTTCCCTTCAGTAATTATAGACCTTACAGATAATGGATGCCCTCTGCAGCACTCAGCTGCACATAACTACATTGTGTTTTACTGGAAAGTTGTCATCGTTAAAAAAAATTTTAAAATTGGATACTATGGTAGATGTAATAAAATAGAACAATAATGATATACTGTAAAAAGAGTTGGTGTTGTTCATTGTGGCGAGTATACTATGTTTTGATATATTATCACCAACAACTTCACTCAAAGATTTACCATTCAAAGCTGATTAAAAAAATTTTTCTCTCAAGTTATTTATTGTTCAAGTAGTTTACATCAATTGCAGATGGATACTACTATTTTATCATAGAGAGTTTAGTAAAAATCTTTCTTTTTTCAGTGATATCAAAGTTTGGCCTAAATAACCACGAGAGTCAGATTTTTTTCCTGGCACCAACCTCTGCCAGGCCAGTCCTGGTTGAACGTTTTTCAGGTAGGTTTTCATATTTTAGAGTAACCTTCAACATACATTATTTACCATTTTCTGTAATCTGCACTTTTCAAACATACACAGTACAGCACTTACCCTTTCAATCATGCAATCACAATGAAAATACAATATGCACTTGACAGAAGAATGAAAATGATACACAAGATATTGGCAAGGAAAAAGAGGAAACATCTTTTGCAGTAGTTGAGATTACCTTCCTTGCCAACACCAAAAGTTGCAATGTTGAAAGTCACTCTTCCTTGAAAGTTCATAACTTGTTTTGTTTAGGCCAGACCCTTGCCAACATCAACATGGGTGACATTGACGATTGCATTCAGCAGGGCCAATTGGCCCTTCAGAATTTAAAGAAGAAATGGTAAGATAATCAGCTCAACAAAATTCCTTTATTATTAATCCCATAAAGTAGACACTTGTCATGACTCATATGCGAGTCATAGAGAACCATATTAAATCAAACAGTGGCCCAAATTTGCTTGTAGCACCTAACTTACTTTCAGAAAAAACATGCTACATGTACCACTTTTACAGTCCAGGTTTCAAAGTGTACCTAACTGAGGCAAATTGTTCTATATTTTTCTGTCAGCAATAAAAAGGAGGATCAAACCACTAAGATGGATATGGAGGTGAATAGTATAATATTACATATCTCTAAAATGTCTCTAACATATCCCTACAATATGTTGTGTTCCACTAAAGCCAATTCATAAAGTTTTGACATTGATGAATGATAAAAGTATAAGTTTATGTCAACAGAAAAACCAGGCCAATGAACATAGAGAAGTATGTCCTGGAGTGTTCATCAAATATTTAATGTCATGCTAGTGTCTTTGGTGATGAGTAGGAGCAAAACTTTTCATTTTTTAAAACAATAATTTCCAATATTGCCTACATACTACAAGACCAACCAGGAGATAAAAGAAAGAAAAATTCTTTCAATAACATTAGGTAAAAGTTTACATCACTATGAACAGAGAATATTGGAATCAAAAGAACGACTCCATAGATAGCTCCAGCAATGCTTGTAAAGGTAACTTCTCAAAATCACTAGATAATTGCTGCAGTTATTTTCTGGCCGACAGACCTCTTTGGTGTTTTAATTCCCCTCCTCTCTACTTGGAATGAAGTCAACGAAGTTCAGCAGAACAAAACATAAGAAATGTTTTTCCCTTTTAATTTCATAGTTAAGAGAGGTAAGGGGTCAGCGGGTACTGCCTGAGGACAAAGAGGGCATTACAATAATCCTACGGTATGGCAGTACCCGACTGAAACGCAAATTCAAAGCAACTGCTCTTTTCCAGGTATTTACAGTAACTTGTGTATGAGTGGTTAATATGAATACATTTATGATCAATTATTGGAATGATAAACACAATGTTTCCATCTCTCTCTTCTAGGGATTTACAATAATACATTTTATTCAAGATATTTAGATATTTTATATATGTACATGGTCACTTACTTAGAAATATTAATCTCCCCTTTTCATTGACAAAGATGATCAGAGGAAACAAAACTGAATTATATTGATTTACAGTTTAACTGAATATTTGAAGTACCCTCAATACATGACAAGAAAAAAAAAGCTGCTCCAGACCCTAATTCTAGTTTAAAAGGCAACCCACTTTCCAAATGAAAGGAGCACCCGCCCACTGCATGCTATTTTGTATTTTTCCTAGTTACAATTCGTATTAGAGACATTTTTGAAAGAAATTTATCTCTTAACAGGAGGTGTATGACTGGGCAGGGTCACAACAGAATGTGCCCCTAAATTTTACCCTGCAGAGACAAAAGCACGTGGTCAAACACCAAGATCCCCTTCTGGGCAAGGAGGTGCTAGATATCTGCGAGAGGGTATGTACATAAAGTTGTATCTATTATGTTGATTTTTTCTTACACAACAAGAGTCCCAGTAGGGTTCAAATTTTCCCCTCTTTGTTACTGAAATAACATCATAAGACAATAAAATATTATTGCAGCCAAAAAACCTTTAAGAAAAACAAATAAACCCGTTGATTTAATTAAGTTCTTTAATTTTACTTCAGTTAAAACAACGTACCTTGTCTTTTTCGATTTATCAGAGTAAAAAATTCCGAAATTCTTGATTGGTGCTGGGCGATCTTACACCTCTTTCCACGGTACAGAATCGTCACGAAGTTATTTATCAAACGTTTCAAAGGCTGTTAGCGTCCGTAAAGACACAACAAAACTCCAGTAATGGCCACTACTGTTATTGTAGCTGTGAAAAGCTTAAACTAGCTATCTTTCATCTTCTTTGTCATGTATACGGCACAACGCATATCTTACTTCATATATTCCACACATTATGTAACATGGCTCGAGAACTTCGAGATGCTTTGCAACTTCACGAGAAAAGAAGAAAATTTGGGCATGAGCAATCTGAGGAAACGAACGTTTTACTTAGGAATAATATGTATTCTCCGCAATTTCAATTACAGTACACGATATTCAATTAGTGCCTATACTTCAAATGGTGTTTTGCTAGATGGTTTAATAGACGAAACAATCATTTCAGCAGTAACATATCAATTACATCTTCACAAATCTATTTAGGATCCAGAGGAAGCCAAGGCTCTCCTAGATGACCAGGTAGGGAATCTTTTTTGGTTTTACACTGTGTTCTCAATTAAGAGCTTAGTTTGGAATTTATTATTAATTACATGCTGGAACAAGATAAGCATTACCTGACTGCATTTAAGGACTTAGTTTGGAATTTATTATTGATTACATGCTGGAACAAGATAAGCATCACCTGACAACATTTAAATAAATCCTCACAATTAAAAATTGATTTGTCATTTTCTCCTGGAAAGGGAAATCTTGCAAATCCAACAACTTAGGCAGACAAACAAAACCTTACACTTGACAAATGACTATTGTTTCTCTCCTAAACCACAACACACTCAAGGGAGACTGACAAGGCCGGTTTCCCGACCAGGGATAATGCCTTACTGCCACGACACTTGTTGGGGGATAGGGACAAGACTATTCTCCTGACCAGGGATGAGGCCTTAGTGCCGTGACACTTGGGGGAGACTGACAAGACCGTTCTTCTCCTGACCAGGGACGAGGCCTCAGTGCCGTGACACTTGGGGGAGATGGACAAGACTGTTCTCCTGACCAGGGACGAGGCCTTAGTGCCGCGACACTTGGGGGAGACTGACTGGACTGTTCTTCTCCTGACCAGGGACGAGGCCTCAGTGCCGCGACACTTGGGGGAGATGGACAATACTGTTCTCCTGACTAGGGACGAGGCCTTAGTGCCGCGACACTTGGGGGAGACTGACTGGACTGTTCTTCTCCTGACCAGGGACGAGGCCTTTGTGCCGCGACACTTGGGGGAGACTGACAATACTGTTCTCCTGACCAGGGACGAGGCCTCAGTGCCGCGACACTTGGGGGAGATGGACAAGACTGTTCTCCTGACCAGGGACGAGGCCTTAGTGCCGCGACACTTGGGGGAGATGGACAATACTGTTCTCCTGACCAGGGACGAGGCCTCAGTGCCGCGACACTTGGGGGAGATTGACAATACTGTTCTCCTGACCAGGGACGAGGCCTTAGTGCCGCGACACTTGGGGGAGACTGACAAGACTGTTCTTCTCCTGACCAGGGACGAGGCCCTAGTGCCGCGACACTTGGGGGAGATGGACAAGACTGTTCTCCTGACCAGGGACGAGGCCTTAGTGCCGCGACACTTGGGGGAGATTGACAAGACTGTTCTCCTGACCAGGGACGAGGCCTTAGTGCCGCGACACTTGGGGGAGATTGACAAGACTGTTCTCCTGACCAGGGACGAGGCCTTAGTGCCGCGACACTTGGGGGAGATGGACAAGACTGTTCTCTTGACCAGGGATGAGGCCTTAGTGCTGTAACACCTGGGTGAGACTGACAAAGACTGTTTCACTCCTGACTATAAGATTGGCAAGAATGTTCCCCCTTCTGGTGAATGAATAGGCTCTTGTAGAGACAAGACAATCAGAGAGTTTGCCCAGACTTTTCCCCTTTGACAGGGAAAAGGCTCACAGGGAAATTCTCTTTTAGTTATTGAATTTCATTAATTCCTTCAACGCAATTATCATCAAGTGCTCCCAGAGATACTTGAATGAGCTGCTTGGTAGGTATGAAAATTTAAGAAGAAAGGGATTTATTAAGTATGTTTGTTTTGAGTGGCAGGGAATTCCCCTAGAGTAATTTTGATACACTATTCCCTATGGAAGATGACACATTGGCATTGACTTGCGTAACACTGTTATAAAAGCTAACAATAACATTAACATTAACATGCAAGACAATGCAAATGGTATCTACTCTAGTGGAAATGTTTGAGGGAGGTATGCTGTACAGATGAATTTGCTTATAAGCTGAATTATTCATCACCATGTTATCCATTTTGTGCAGCATACTTCCCTTCCCTTCATTTCTTTGCAGGTTTGCTTCAAGGGAAATGTGCCACTAGGCAAACAGGAAATCCTGCAAACGACAGTCGAGGGTAAGAATTGTCTTTATGAGGTTTATGGTAGGTTTTCTAGCAAAACTTGTGAACAAAATTATTATCTTAGAAGACTTAAAATGCTCTTTATTGCATCAATCAATAATGACGTGGTGGTAAAATCCATTACCAATGCCTGAGTTGATTGTTAAAGGGATTAAACCATCATCACTTTTACTGACAGATGAAGACCACCAAGACCATTATAAAAAGGAAAGAAGAATGGAAAAAGAAGAAAAAGGAAAGGAAAGAGAAAAGAGAAAAGAAGAAGCAAAAAGAGCGAAGAGAAAAAAAAGACGCAAGAGTAGATAAAGATGGAGAATGTAGAAGAGAAGATGCCAGCATGGAAGGTGAGGAAGGAGAAAAGGTAGAAAAAGAAGAAATAAAGGAAATCAATGCCAAAGGGGAAAAGAAAAAAAGGGAAAAAAGAACTGGCTGCCAAAGGAAGAAGTTGAAGAAGTAGTCAGATGTTGGATAATGTAAGGATATTATGGGGAGAAGTTACTTGTTAATCACTTATAGAAGTGAAAAAAATTAATGGAAGTTTTTAACCCTTTAACTCCCGGTGGTGATTCACATAAAACTTCTACCTACAATATCCATACATTCTCCAGCAAACAGGTAAAGAGAATATTAAAACTTATCAGGTAGAAGCTGCTATCTTGATCTAGCACCAAGTTCTCATAACTAATTCACAAGGAAATGTGTAGCAGCTACAGGGGAGGATTAACAATCAGATCTTGGGAGTTAAAGGGTTAAACTAGTTTGTAATTTAATTATGTGAATGTTTGTTATTCATTAAGTATTTAGTGGTTATGATTACTCAGTAAGTAATCATGCATGTTTATAAATTTGAGTATTCTTGTTACCTATTTGTTGGATAACATAAGGATTTTATGGGAAGAAGTTTCTTGTTAACCTTTTAACTGCCACGAGTGACCCAGACATAATTTCTCCCTACAATATTAATACAATATCAACCAGATAAGTGAAGAGACCAAAGAAGAATATCAATTTTGGGTTAATTAGTTGATCAATACTAAATTCTCTGACCTAACATCATAAGAATTGTATGGTTGATAGTAAGGAGAATTAAAAATTCAATCTGGGAGTTAAAGGGTTAATCACTTCTAGGAGTCAAAGGGTGAAAAAATGAATACAAGTTTTTAAACTAGTTTGTTGTTTAATTATGTTAATGTTTGCTATTCATTAAGTATTTAGTGGTTATAATTACTCACTAAGTAATCATGCATGTTTATAAATTTTGCTCAAAGAAAATTATAAATTATTGTTATTGTGCTGTATCACATTCAACAGATGTAGAGCAGTTGTTAATTAAAAGTTAACTCTCAATCTTTTGAAACTGTTTCTTAATTGTCCCCTCAAGCTGCTACACAATTCCTTCTAGATAGCTTATGCAAATTGGGTATTAGATCAAGATGACAATTTCTACCTGATAAACATGAGTATTCTCATTACCTATTTGTTGGATTATGTAAGGATATTCTGGGGAGAAGTTTCATGTTTATCCCTTCTAGGGGTTAGAGGGTTAAAAAATTAATGCAAGTGTTTAAAATAGTTTGTATTCTAATTATGTTCATGTTTTTTTATCCATTAAGTATTTAGTGGTTATGATTAATCAGCTGGTAATCATGCGTATTTATCAATTATGAATTTTAATAAATTTTGCAAATAACATGTGCACTTTACAATGGCATGTTGAAAGTTATCTTTAAATATGTGGTAGAAAGGGAACGTCAAAGGTGGAGAGCATTTTGTTAGACACTAACATACACCTGTTTCAACAATAAAATGAATGTCCCATCCCTTACCATATCTCTCTTAAATATTCTGGATTATTCTCATATTAACGGGGAAGGGGTTGAGGGAAGAGAGGTTAAGACCCAAAAAAAGTTGCGTCATCATCTGGTCACGAAGTTTCGTAATTTTCGGTAGTTTAGCAGCCACGAAATAAGAAAGAATAGAGAACCCATTTATGGGCGATACACAAGTGTAAGAAAGCGTTCTTACCTAGTTCCTGCATTACAATGAGCTCGATAACGGTGTCGTAAGAAAACTGATACCGAATAGTTAACATTTCAATTTTTACATTCGCCTGCTTCACGAGATTTTTTATAGTGACAGCGAACTCAAATTTTTGTTTAAGTCCGTTAATCCCAAACTTCATTAACCAGTCGCGTCTTTGAGCTTCTGCAATAAAGTGTAGATGCGCTGCTCCTTGGATACCAGCCTCTCGGTCACTCCTCCGTGGAACAAGACTCGACCCACTCTAGCGATTGGACTCTTTAAAACTTTAGAAAACCCCCCTTTTTTTTTTCGTCTCACTCAAATTTTTGCTTAAGTCCGTTAATCACTTAAGTAACTTGTAAAAATGAACAATGTGAATCTTACGTGTAAATCTGGTGGTTAGAGTTTAACATTAAAAATTTGGTTGTTGCAAGCTTTAATTCAATGTATAGTGTAAAAATTTTAGATCTAGATGTCTAAAAAGCTGGTGGTTGCAAGCTTAAGGACTAGGACCGCAAGAACCGTTCCAGGTGCTCACTTCTTAATCTGCGTTTAAAACCTAGATTGAGTAACAAAGTTTAAAAGAATCGTCCAACTGGTTGCATGAGGAAACCATTCAATAATTAATTGTTCTCTGTCCAAATGCTGTTTTAAACTTAAGAAAAAACATGAGACAGGAAAAACCAAATATTTTTTTAAATTTTTCTCTTCACCATAGTTTTTAATATTATCTCTTCCCCTTATATCGAGCATGATCTGCACTTCCCCCTCCTCCCTCCCCCTGCCAGAAAAATCTCGGTTGCCCAGGAACAAATATTATTCAGCTCGGTCGGACACGAGCTCGATTTGATTCGAGCGCGATTACCAAATCGGGACCACATTTAGTATCTGGGCAACCGAGCTCGATTCATGTTCACCGTACTCGAATATCAATTCGAGTACCATTTCAAACCAACCTCGGTTCAACGAGCTCGAAATGCAGTCAATTCTATTCGAGCTCGATTCAACTATATCGTGCTCGATTAAAAAGACGAGCTCGACGAACTCAATCTGCTCTTATCGACCTCAGTTATTTTTATCGAGCTCGGTTTGCCACCTATTCTATCGAGCACGGTTTGCCTCGCATTCTATAGGTTTCATATTGAGCTCGATTTGGTATCGAGCTCGGTTTAATCTTCATTCAGCAAATGAGAGGTAATCTGGTACCAAGACTTGGGAGGGAGCATGGGACGAGCGAGAGTGGCCATGTTTCTGGCAAATTTGTCGAGTTTAGTTCGTGAATTCGGTACTTTTTAGGAGTATGTTTTCGGTCGAATTCGAAAAAAAAGAAGAAGAGTGACAGAAGAAGAGCAAAGAATGATTTATACTGCTAAGGAGATGAAGGAAATGACACTAAGGTGAGCATTGGCTCTTTACGGGAGGGTGTTCCGAGTTGCTGGTTCATAGTTTCTAGTAACCTTTTGTTCAGTTTCAAACTTAAGCTCAATCCTGGAGTGTACGTTTCTCGGTTATTTTAAATCTCAGTTGTGTAATAAGAAAGTGTCTCCCTCCATTTTACCAACCCCAAAAACCCCACAAAAAAAGTATACATAACAACATGCAACAATACACACATTCTATTTTTATTATATGAGCTCAATACACTTTCGTGTTTCTATTTTAATTCTTCTTTTGTAACAAGGAAAAGGAACAGAACTCTAATGAAATATGAAAATCTTTTGGAGAATATGACAAAAAAAAAAGTCTGAAAAGTAATGTATGTTCATCCCTTGCAATCAAATATTAAGAAGAATATTATTAACTATACTGAACATATGCATGATCAGAGACCATGGTTGATTGACGACATTTCACGAAATTAAGAAAGTGTGGCGGGCTACTGAGATTGTTAAAAGAAGCTAAAGTACAGTTCAAGCTGTGTTTATCAGTGAGAGAAATGTATTTTTGAATCCAGATTGATTAAATGTTGCTAGATGAAGACAGATTTGCCAATTTTGTGAAAAGTGAGTAATTTTCAGGAATTGGTTTGATAGTTGAGAGCAAAGAGGTTTCCATTATTAACAGGTCTTAAAATGTTCAATCCAGTTATGAATGTGTTAATAGATCCACCAAAAAGCCATTAAACACCTGCAACAGTTCACTTTTAACAAAATAATCAATGCTTGTTGATTTAACCTTAGTTTTTAAATGGCCTGACCTAACCCTCTTTATAGACTGCAAAACCATATTCTTAATTTGCAGTCATGACAAAAAAAAAAAGCAAGAAAGTTATGACTGTTAAGTAAGAGGTTAATAAAAATGCCAGTTGACTTTTTTTTTAATAACTGAATTGAACATTTTATGACCTGTTCATGAAATTAATGCAAGTTGAAGTAGTAAATAATAAATTTAACATCAAGGCTGCCATTTCCGTCCAGTAGACTGTCCACATTTGGTATCCTCCTACCCCACATTTCTCCTTCCTTCAGGGACACTATGTCCGAGTCTAGCACTTGCTCATTGTCACTTCCAGGGGCCATTACAATTCTTCAAAAGAAAATAGAATATATATTTACATATCATAACATTGTTCCACTCAACAATCATTGTGTATTTTTATGCCAGATATCCGTATTGTCTCTCAGCTTAAACAGGAGTAGTACATGGGTGGGTTCGGCTTTGAACACAGCAGTTAGCAAGTTCTGGCACAGTCATACACAAATAGGTACAATGAAATGTTTTTTCGTGCAACACACAGACAGCAAATCTAGTGTTATGCATCATTTCTTCTAAAGCCCCCTTAGTTATAAAGGTGATTTTTTTCAAACATAATATCAATTTCCCTTTGACAATCTATGAACAAATTCTCATAACCTTTGCTCCTGGTTTAGTATAATTCGATTTGTGATGAAAATAGTGTTGGTCACTCTTGGGACATGAAAGAAGGCAAAGGTAGCATTTTCCTTTAAGTGCACTCACAAACACTCTGCATGAAATAATTAAAGTTCTTACTGAATTTCCCCAGTAACTGGATGGGATGCTGAGAGCAGCTGCAGGAACAATTTTTGTTGTCCGGAGTACAGTCCTCTCCATCTGCAGTTGTCATCTATAAATGGCCCACTTGTAAGGGGCTTGTCTCCAATGGCATCTGAAGCTTGTTGTCTCCTGCTCTCCACAAAATTTGGAATTCTCCAGCAAAAGGAGACAACCCTTTCCACTTTGGGCTCTATGGGTTCTATGTTGCATTTCTAAAACAGAAATGGATTTTATGGATATTATGAAATGCACCAGAAAAAGATTTTCAATGTAAGATTTTGAAGGTAAATGCAACAGTTGCCATCCTTTTTTCCACATACTTCGCTGGTTTTGGCATTTAAAAGAGTGCATGTTTATTGATTTTTAGGTTGGTGAAAAGGCAGCTTACCTTGTAGTATATTATTCCTCGCAGTCGTTTGATTTCTCCTGATTGGAGAGCAAAATGCGAGGTACTTGCTTCCTTCAAATGGACATTCATGTCCTTCTTTTTCACAATTTTTTTGCAGCCAGGTACTTGGCACATTGAAGCCTTCTCTGGGCATTTGTGTAGATGTAGGTTGATGTTCATTCTACAATTCAAAAAGAGGTATGTGTTAGTTCTAGATCTTCCATTTTGACTGGTATCATATATTCCAACAGTGGTTTGATGAAAAAAAAAAAGCGGGAAAAACATGACACCTCAAGGGTCACGCCAATTGGCTCTGTAGATAAATTGACCTTGATATAAACTTTGGGGCTTTGGGGAGAGCGGTGGTCAGGGAGACTTAAAGTAATTGGAAGTATCACTAGGCCCCTCTCTTAGATCCCCACTGAAAAATAGGCATTATTTCTGTTTCTCAAATCGTTTCTTAATTCCTCTCTGTCAGTTATTTTTAAGGAATGCAGCTGATCGCGTGGCACCAGACACAAGTTAGGACTGCTCGTAGTCCTCGATTTGGATAACACGAAGGATAAGTTTGTCACCTGCTATTGACGATTGAAATGATAAGAGAATACAGCAATACTGCAATTCATGCTAAAAATTACCGAAAAATACTTCACTTATGACAATCGCCTAACACCAAAATATCGCAATGCCGAATTATCCTAATTAATACAACATACCGTGGTAATGATGCTCCACATCTCAAGGGGCATAGAACTGCAGAGTTTCTGCATAAAGATGTACGGTGGAATTGTAGTTTTTCCCTGGTTACGCTCAGTTGGCATCCTGAACATGGGATCCTTTCTTTTGGGCAAGCGTGTGCTGTCATTTCTTCCCGTGCCGCCACATGCTGGCATCCTTCGTTGGGGCACCTCTCTCGTACTTTTGGGCAATGTCTGAGGTGATCGTTGGCATCGCTATAGTTGCCCTTCCACTGGCAGCCTTGGCTGTTACATTTAAGAGGCAAATCTCGGGTCGCCTTATCCATTGCCACATTTAACCTCAGCTCTTCTTTTCGGAACGTTGCCCGACACTGGGGACACAACGGTGTGGCTGTCGATTCTGCCCAAGTTTCCATGCAATTTTTGCAGCCAGAGTGCCCACAGGCTAGGGTAACGGGCCTTGACACGATGCCATAACTGAAAAGGAATGTGGCGGTATAATAGCACTGGAAAGGAGCGGTAACAAAAACGATGGCAAAATATGACAGCCAGCAATGATATTCAACTCACCAAATACAGCATTCCAAATCCACTGTCCTCAGAAAAGTTAATTCGTTGGACTTGGAAACCACTTCGGTCTTTTGATGAGACATTGTTACGGACTAAAGGATTTTCGATCACGGTCTGTCGTAATAAAGTTTCCTTGTCAGTGGAAGCTGCTCAAATAACCTCTGATGACAACGGTGTGTTTTTTATAGGTCAATATTTCCGTTGTGCGGTTAATAAATTAATTTCCCTTGTTTAGGTTCTGGTATTGGCAGTAATTGGTACCCTTATTATTGAAATCTTCATTAAGGTCGTGAATTTAATGGGATGCTTTGTCTTGTCGGTTTAGTCCTTCATATTTAGGTCGTCACGTTAAGGGGTTCCTTAGTCTCTTACCTAAACCTGCTCCATTATTGATGTCTGTCCTTTGTAATAATGACATTTTCACGGAGGGGACACCACGCTAAAGGCTCGAAAGAGTTTCAGTCACGTGACGTCATCAAAATGAGAAAATAAGAAATTATCAATCCCTTTTGATGAGGCATTTTACGGAATATGAGATCTTCGATGACGGCCTGTCACAGTAAAATTTTCCTTCTTTATAGTATAAGCTGCTCAATTAACCTCAGATTACAACGAGAGTATGATTAGCTTTTAAAGGTCGACATTTCCGTTGTGCGGTTAATTAATTAATTTCCTTTGTTTAGGTTCTGGTATCGGCGGTAATTGGTACGCTTATCACTGAATTGTTCAGTAAGGCCGTGAAGTAAATGGGATGCTTTGTCTAGTCGGCTTAGTCCTTCATATTTAGGTCGTCTTCTAAAGGGGTTCCCAAGTCTCTTGCCAAGTCTCCTAGGACCTTTCTGAAAACCACAGTGATGTAATGAAATTTTCCTGATGAAAGATTGCTATTGTTATTATTAACCCACTCCATTATCGATGGCTGTCCTGTATAATGACATTCTCACTGAGGGGATGCCACGCTGAAGGCTAGGAATAGTTTCAGTCGCGAGCGCGCTTTATCTGGTTTTCACGTCACGTCTTCAAAATTAGAAAATAAGGAATTATCAATCCCTTTGAGATTTTAGTTCGGTTAGTTATAAGAACTGTTGAAGACTTACTTTTTACAAATTTCCAGCTTGTTAGGGTTTTTCGTCTTGTGAGAAAGCAAGATTGAATTTCTAAGCTTTGGCGCCAAGCGACATTAAAAGGCGGCCAAGAATGCTGTCACGTAGGTTTAAAAAAAAGTGACATCCGCTTAGATTTCGCGATCTGAACAGTCCTAGTATGAGAATAAGTACTCATATAGATGATTATAAGTCCGCTGAAGACGGCTACAGGATTTTATGTCTTTTTGATTCTTGACTTTATTTGTTGTACGTTTTGATGATGGCGTGACAATGAAAACCGGCAACTTGTGATACAAATCTCACGCGTGCAGTTGAAGCATATTCGTAATTATCGTATGGCCCGTCTGGCCCCGCTCGCCTAATCCCCTAGAAAACCACAGTTAAAGCTGACGTGTACAGGGCCGGACGGGTTGACTTAAGCCGGTCAGGAAAAAGCCGTTTTTCAAGAAATTGGGAGTTTCTTGTTATGACTTGAAAAAATAAATAAATGTCGGTTTGCCGGCCGGAAGGTTCGTATGGTGGAAAAACTATGATCGAGGTCTTGATGTATATGCAGCATTTTCAAGACCGAGGTCACAGTTTTTCACCATACGGACCAACCCTTAGCCGGTAAATAACATACATTTTTTTTTAACTTGACGAAATTCTTTCCGAAAGAACCCGAATGATTTAGGGCTGTAAATACGGCAAGATCTTCCATAAACTGGACAATTTTTTAACGAATAAATGGTAGTTAAAAAAGAGGTGATGCAAATTAAAGAGAGATGCCTTACCGAAACATTTTCATTTGCGTAATGATAAAGGTGATTTAAAAGGCTTCCAAACAAACTTTGAAACAATATTTTTACCAGTATCTGTCACTGTCTGACACCTGTCAATTAGAGAGCGCGTAAGAAAAGAAACAAAAAAAAAAGTAAGAACATTTGAAAAACAACGGAACTAGTTTGGCAAGGACTGTCACGACAATGTTTCCTTCAAAAACATTCAATGACCTAAGGGAAAGTATTATTCACTGTAATCGACCATTCATTCATGTACGAAGATTTACCTCTGTTCATTAAGTAAACGGCGAGGAAGGTAATTGTGAGTAAATTCAAATTTTTTCTATAACAGCGCCGGTGCTGGCCCTATTTTAGTCCTATTGAGCCGCTATGAACAAAATCCTTATTTACGCACGCCCGTGCGTAAATAAGATGACTTGAGCATTTTTTTTAACCTGGCTTCAGAGTTTCCATCCTGTTAAGCTGCGGTGCAGTTTTCCTTCTCTTTGAAATATGGAAGAAACCAGAGAAGAACTGGCCAATTTTTCTATCGGCATTGACCGTCTGGGTCTTGATCCAACAAGCAACAGAAATAAAGCCAAAAAAAACTCCCAAGTTGCACGTTTCGCAAATTTGTCGTAAGACCAGCTGGAGCAAATTTTGGCCGAAAGACAGACATTCACTGGGAATAAAAAATAGTTACCAATTGGTCATAAACGACATTCAAAGGTAAAATTTCCGTTTTTTACTGTCGTTTTTAAATTTGTTCAACCTGGGGAATAAAATACACAGTTTATTGGAAATTTACCAAAACCAGAACAATCACAATTGCACTCTATCACAATAAAAAGGTTTCTTCGCGCAGATTCTTGTTGTTGCTCTGTTATAAAAGAATTTGCTCATGCTTTTAGCTGTGCGTATATCAGTTGAGTTATGGATGCACTTGGGAAGTTTGGAAAGCACTCAAAAAGCTAGAGTTGCTCTTGGCTGCGCCTCGAGCTACTCTTACACATTTTTCGTGCTCTCCAAACTTCCCGCGTGTATCCATAACTCGATATACGCACGCGCAGCATGAACAAATTCTTAAATTTTGAAGTTGTGCGAGTTTGCTCATTAGTTTGCTGCAATGTCGTGTGTAAATCTGGTCTTTCCTCTACAAAAACTAAATTCGAATGGCACACTCCAAGGGGATTTAATGCGCCATTCTCTCAATAAATTCCTTCAGTTTCTGTTTTGCAATTTACGGTACAAATGTCCAAATTGAACGGACCCGAAAAGACTCACAGAGAGCGTATATTTGTTGTAGAACTGAATGTAAAACTTCGCTCGCTCTTTCGCTACGAACAAATTGTTTGAGAAAATTCAGATATTAAATGAATGAAAATTCCACCGTTCAGTTTAACTGTCATCAAATACCTCACGTTTTAACTTTTTAGGTACTTTTTGTGAACGATTAAAATTAACTGCTGACGGTTTTTATGCCGCTTGTCAACCAACGTAATGACACTATTGCTTATACAAATTCATTCTGAAACCAATATTTTTCTGTCAACCATAGTGATTTGAGAGAGAGAAAAGAGAGGATTCATAAGTTATTTATCGGCTTGAGGTAGTGACCGACGTGTCTGCCTAAAAATACTACCCAGAAGGAAAAGCGAGATATATTTATAAAAATGGCAACGAAATTTAGGATGTACTCAGCGATTCACGAAGGCGTCACCGTGGCCCGTGGGCAGAGATAAGAAAATACTGACTGGGTAAAGAACCAATCAGACTGCAGGATTCGTTACCGTGCCCTCTGAAAAAAAAGTAAAGGAAAAGTTTAAATTTCAGAATTTCTTTTTTGTGCTCGTGTAGCTGTGTGGGCCCGGGCCGGACGGGAAAATATTTGGCTCTCGATCATGAGACACGGACCTCGTTGCGTTCGGTCCGTACGTCATGACTTCGAGCTAAATATTTTCCCGTCCCACCATAATACTGATTTAGTTTTCGATTTTGGGGGCACGACTGGATGTGTCCTATGGTTTCCATGGTGACAATTTTTTTCCTTTTTTGTTTACTTTATTTTCTACACGTTCCCACAAGCTTGCAGCTTTAAACCTCACCATGTTTGAATAAGGTTTATTGTAGTGCACATGCATTGTATTTTTAAATTATCTGGGGAAAAATGATGTTATGGTGTTTCTTTTATTTCTGTGCCGAATTTTATACTAGTAGTATACTTTACTACTATACTTATTACGAAGAGCCAAACTGTTTTGAGAAATAATTTGAAGAACTTTTCTCGAAAAAGGGCAATCTGTTTTGAGCTATCTTAAAATGAAACGCTGTAAACTCCGTTAAGAGAAAAATTTGCTTAAAAAAAACCTTTTAAAATACCTTAACCTTTTTCAGGGAGTTTGACATACGAATCGGTCCCTGAAGGTTAATATTGTTCACACTTTAACACTGACAAGAGCTAACCCCTTTTTTTTTTTACTGAACAGTGTTTTCAGTAAATCGGGCACCTGATACCCGGAGCTATCGCAGGTGTTCTGTCCTGAATCACCGAGCTAAATTTATTCTGGTAATTTTGCGTTAACAACTGAGTTGAAAACGTAAATTGGTCACCGTAAAGGGTAAAAAAGATAACATTTCGAGCGTTAGCCCCTCGTCAGGGCGAAGGGCGAAGGGCTCACGCTCGAAACATCAGCTTTTTTACCCTTTACGGAGGCTAATTTACGTTTTCAACTCAGTTGTTAACACTGAATTACCTGCTATACTCTCCCACCGACGCAACACCACAGTTTCTCTAAAAACTTACTCCCTTTATAACTTTATTCTGGTTTCTGTTACAGATGTCTGAGCTCGCAAGGAAAGCCTCCTACTTGAAATCTTATAGAGCGTTACCACTCACGTTGCATACAAATTTATTGGAACTAAAGAAAGTGTTCACTGAAGAAAAAAGTTCAACTCCCACGGGATTGGTTTGGTACACCAACATGGCCGCCGTTGGATTGTTTTGGAACACCGATATATGATAGGGTTGGGGGAGGGTTAGTCATCCTTAATACTTACTACTGTATTTAAAGATCAATACTAAAAGGCTTGTTCTTGTTGTGTTTATAGCACCTCGAGCATGGGAGGTAGCAGATAAGACGCCCGCGGCAGACACAAAAGAGACATCATGTTATCATCAACGGGTTTTTGGACTGGAAAAGCACTTCTGCAAACTCAGCGGAACCTGTAGCAAACTAAACTGTAGAGACGTTTAGCCACCTAGGGTTTCATGAAATGACAAACAAGTTCAGAAACTTTGATCTTAAAGCGTTTTCTTGTAAAATAATCCTTTCTTCAAATAGATCTGTGCAAATTTTCTCATATTTGTTATCTTGGCTAAATTTGAGCATACGCCTGTCTGAAAAAAAAAAATGTCTTATTACATCCGCTTCAGGAGCTCTGTGCGTATTTGAAATCATGTTGTTTTTAAGAATAGTGTGCCTTAAAACCAATAACGTTATATTGGTATAGCTTTGGAGTACTTCAGGGTTGTCTAGTGATCTTTGAATTGA